CTCCAGATTCTGTCCTCTGAGTGGATTGCCCTTGTGCCCTTGTGATTCCCCTTGTGGGCTTTAGGACCATATCTGGGAAGAGGAACATTTGGAAGATACCCCTGATACCTCTGCAGAGGCTGTGGCCTTAGCAATCCCTTACCTGGTGGAGGTGGACCTGGAGAGACCCGAGATTCATTGTGTTGGTTGAGTTAGTCATAGTTCATGTGTTCCTGGGCTGTCATTTTTCTGCAGCTTCATTCTGTAGAACTTTTCTTGGCTACCAGTTTCATTTTTTGAGAATTCTTGTTAGATCAGTCTCTGTGAGTCCTTAGGTCTGCTGGACACAGTAGAAGGACCATGGGGAGCCCTGCTGTTCTTCATTATTCTTGGTGTCAGCTGCTGAGAGAGACCAATGGACTCTTCCCTAAAATGTTCCAGCCCCCATAATACACCTGTCCTTCACTGTCTGAATCTATACAGTTCCTGAATTCTGAAGGTGAGGAACATCAGTTATCCAAATGTATATGGTCCAGGAGTTTCAGATAATGAGTAGCAAGAGTTCAGATAAGTGGAGGATGTCTGTCTATGTAAAAGCCTCTAATGTGATTACCCCAACTGCAGAGAGTTCTGTGCATCCTCCAGTCTGGAAGAATGAATAAGTTAGAAGAGTCAAGATCTTTTAGGAAACTATGATGAGGAGATGTTTTACCAAGGAAAAGCCATTAGGGGGAGCCTGTGTGTCTCACTTTGGGTTTCTGCCCATCAGCAGGGGAAAAAATACTCTAGGTCAGAAGGCAGCAGTGTTGCTACCACCACCTTATTCCCAGGTGCCAAAACCCTAGAAGCCTGTGGACTTGGGAGTGCAACTCAGAAGGGCAGAGTCCCCAGAACAAACACAGGGGGCCATACTCAGGTATCTGCAGCCTGACAGCTCAGCCAGATACAGTATACCTGTCTGAACACCCTGCTTTGCACAAGGAAAGGGTAACACTGTGCAAAAATGTCTAGCTCTTATACAACAGGAAGCATTGCATGCCTATCAAATGTAATCATTTTATTAGGGATTTTTATTCCATCCTCTTGTGCTTTTTTTTTTTTTTTTGCCTATGCTTTACAAATTTTCATGTCCAATTTGTGTGTTCTTTAAAATAAGAATACAGGGGGCGCCTGGGTGGCTCAGTGGGTTAAGCAACTGCCTTCGGCTCAGGTCATGATCCTGGAGTCCCGGGATCGAGTCCCACATCGGGTTTCCTGCTCAGCAGGGAGTCTGCTTCTCCCTCTGACCCTCTTCCCTCTCGTGCTCTCTCTCATTCTCTCTCTCAAATAAATAAAATCTTTAAAAAAACAAAAACAAAAAACAAAATAAAATAAGAATACAGGGCGCCTGGGTGGCTCAGTTGGTTAAGTGACTGCCTTCGGCTCAGGTCATGATCCTGGAGTCCCAGGATCGAGTCCCGCATCGCGCTCCCTGCTCAGCAGGTAGTCTGCTTCTCCCTCTGACCTTCTTCCCTCTCATGCTCTCTCTCTACCATTCTCTCTCTCTCTCAATAAATAAATAAAAATCTTTATTAAGAAATAAAAAGAATACAGTATTTTATCAAAATAGATTTTGGGCCTGAGGTGAATAAAATACTGGGATTTTTTTCCCCATTTTCATCTAGGATGGGGTATTATGTTGTCAAATATTAATATATATTCTAAAGCATTGAAAATTATAAAGTGTGGTATTGGAGGAGGAAGTGATCAATGGAACAAAATAGATGTACAAAAACAAACCCAAACATATGTAATAATTAAGTATATGAAAAGGAGATTTAAATCTGTGGCTAACCACTATGAGAATAAGTTAGATCCTCATCACATACTTTATAATAAATTTCACATTAATATTTAATATAAAAAAATAACATTTTAGAAGAAAATAGAGGTGTTTTCTAAGTTATGTCTCCTTCACCTGAGAGTAGAAACCATAAAAGATTGATATTTCATCAAATAAAACATTTAAACATTCTGTATATCATAGAACATTATAAAGTTGAAAGACCTCTATATAACTAACGAAGGGTCATCCTGAATACATAACAAGCTCATAAATCGATAAGAAAATAGTGAATAACTTAATAGAAAATGGGCTGAGGACATTAGTGCCAGAGAAGAAATACAAATGCCACCTTATGGCATGTTAAATTCATAATTATAGATTATGTTCTACTTCTCTCTGCACTTTGTTGTCCTTTCTTTTGATGTAGTCATCTACTCTTCTGTCCTAGTTTTATCTTTTTAATATGGTTTTAAATCACGTAGGCAGATACCCAGGTATATTTTTTTCAAAGATTTTTTTCACAGTCCATACCCATTTATTCCTCCAAATAATCTTTTTTTTTCCCCCCAAGTTCTTTAACCTTCTTGGGATTTAAATTGAAATGATATTAAACCTAAAACTTGTTTGGGGAAGAACTGACAGTATTAAAATGTTCAGTCTTCCTACTCAGGAGCATAGTATTTCTCTCCATGTATTGAAATCGAGCTTGAAACAGTTCTTTCCCCCACAATTTGAATTATTTATTTAGACCAAGAAAAGCATACGCATTGTCTCTTTGACAGCTTTGTAATATCCTTTTTTACTCCATGCTGTGTTTTTATTTTTCATTTTTTATTGAAGTTTAGTTGATTAAAACAACTCTTTCATCATGTTATTCCCCTGCTCCAAAATCCTTCCTGACAGTCTTTCACCATCTGTTTCTCAAATTCTTTTCCAGCTTCCTCTGCACAGACTCTCCCCTTCAGCCTGGCTGGTTTTCTGCCTCCTAGGCAAACCTCTTGGCCTTTTCCCACATTGCTGCTTATGTCTGCAGTCCCTCCCAACCCCCCTCCCCTTTCTCTCTGTCTCCAGGTTGTAGCAGCTCAAGGCCCACGTCCTTGACAACACTCCATCCCACAGGGAGCGCTTCCTCCCCTGGATCCATAGCATGTATGGTATTTTCCACCCAGCAGTTGTTACTTTATGGCATTTATTCTGTTATTTTATTTTGTTAGCTTCCTGTAGGCAACAGTTCTGTCTCCTATTTCTTTAGATCCTCTGCTGTTCCCTACCGTAGCCACTCCCTACACATGGCTGTGGAGCACTTAAAAATGTGGTTTATTTCATAAGGAATTGCATGGAGGACATTAGGAGAAGGAAGGGAAAAATGAAGGGGGGGAATCAGAGGGGCAGACGAACCATGAGAGATTATGGACTCTGAGAAACAAACTGAGGGTTCTGGGGGTGGGGGTGGGCTAGCCCGGTGATGGGTATTAAGGAGGGCAGCACGTATTGCATGGAGCACTGGGTGTTATATGCAAACAATGAATCATGGAACACTACATCAAAAACTAATGATGTAATGTATGGTGACTAACAAAATAAAATGTGGTTTATTCAGTTAAGACACACTATAGGTGCAAAGTGCACTGAGTTTCAAAGACTCCGTACTGAAGAATGAATTAATTTTTATGTTGATTAAATGGTGAAAGCATCATATTGTGGATATATTTGGTTGAATAAAGCATGTTATTAAATTAATTTCACCTGTTTCTTTTTGCTTTTTTTCATGAGGCCCCTACAAATTTTTCAGCTGTGGCTCACATTTGTGGCTCGCATTACAGTTTCCATTGGACAGCACTGGTCTAGAGTGCCCAGCAAAATTACTCTCCTACAAGAGGTGCTCCCAAATTGGTGCTGCTTGGAAATGAATGAAAAGAAGCAGCTGGCCTGTCTCATTCATCTGAGGGTTTTTCTCTCAGTCTCTCCCCTTTTTCGTGGTTGGTGGGGAGCAGAGAGACTACAAATTTGAATCCCTACTAGGTAGGATGCAAATCCAAGAATCAGAAATTAATTTCTGAATGTGAGATAAATGCTGCTCCAAAGTGCAGTCTTCTGATTTTGTGCAATGCAAGATCTAATTTCAGAGACACCAAGAGATCTTATACTTTTAGATAACAAAAAGACCTTTTAGGAACCCTTTAAGTGGTTAAACTCATCTAAATGTAAAACTCTCACCATTAAATGGTAAAATAAATCTTTGCTTCAAAACTAAAAGTTGAAGATTAAAAGCAGAATAGTGTTCTACAGAAAATCAAATCAATAAGAGGATAAGCATTGGAAAGGGCAAACAAGTTGTTAAATGGATGCTTATGGCTAAATTAATAGCAAACTAGTAAGTTAGAGAAGGTTACCCCTCACTGACATGCCCAGTGGGGTTGTGGGAACAGATGGCTTCTTTTTCCATCTCTTTCCTTTTCTTCCTAGCTCTCCTTCTCTTAGTTTCCTCTCCTTTCTTCTATTCATTTCTTAAAAAAAAAGAAAATTGATTTCCTGCCTTTATGTATCTTTCTCTCCTAACTTACAATGCTAGATTAAAGTGCATTTAAATTAAAGCACCTTGCTCATTTACTTCTTTAATTCACTCAAAATTTATTTTTGAATATAGTATGGCATAGGAATCTAAAACTTTTTTTACAGTTAACCAGAGCACTATTTCTTGAGCACATCATTGTTTTCTTGTTGATTTGTATTGACAATAATTATTGAGAGCTTAGTATTGCCAAGGCAGTGTTTTGAGAGCTTTGTATTTAAATTCCTGGTTGTGTTTCTTTCCCTTTTTTTTAAGTTTATTTATTTAAGTAATATCTACACCCAACATGGGGTTCAAACTCAGGACCCCCAGATCAAGATCTCATGCTCTTCTGACTGAACCAGCCAGGTGCCCCCTGGTTGTGTTTCTTGAATAAAGTTCTCCTTATGTTTAGACATTTTAAATTCATTAATTCTTGTCCTTCCTTGTATTGAACCATTTAAGAAATACACAGTAAGTTGCTTTTCCACTTGGGTACCAATTTTTTTTTCCTCTCTGGGAGTTGAGAATCTCTCATAAGAACAAGTGCCCTGCCTTCTACTTTAAGACTGGTGGAGGAGTTACGGAGACCAAGAAGTTCCACTTTACCATTTCTCATAAGGGATGTTACTTATAGGTGTCTTTCAGGTTGCAGAAAAGATGGAAAAAAGGACATGTGCACTCTGCCCCAAAGACATCGAGTATAGTATCCTATACTTTGCAAAATCAGAGAATATAGCTGCTCATGAAAATTGTTTGGTAAGTTACTTGAAAACACCTGAGTCCTTTTAGGGAAGGACATACCAAAATAGGTAAATGTACTTTGGAGACAGAATGACGAGTTGGCCATGATTTGGGCTTCTAAGTGGGGATTTGGGGAGCATATTTTTCTAACTTTTTAAACTGTTTCAGATCTTATGATTACATTTTAGCTTTATTTATAACTGATCAAATACAATTATGATGAAGCTTCTTTGAAGATATTTTATTGAGATATTTCAAATATAACCAATACCCATAGACATTGCACCCAGATTTGTAGAATCATACTATATTTGGTTTACTTTGATTTTCTTTTTTAAAGGAAATAAAATACAGATAGTTAAGGGCTAATTCTCTCTGTTCCCCTCCCACCATCCCTCGAGATATAATTGCCCTCACGGATTTGGTGTTTTTTATTATCTTGTGTTTTAGATTTTATGTTCCCACTGTGTATATTTAAGTGCTTATAACAAGATATATTGTTTACATGTTCTTGGACTTTGTAGAATTTCAATCAAATTCTGTGGCTAATGAGATTTATCCATGTGATAAATTTAACTCTTAAGTCCTTAATTTTAAATGTTATAGAATTCCATTTTGTGACCATCACTACTATTCTCGTGTGAATGAACTCTTAGGTTTTTCCACTTTTTTTCATGTAACTAACCAGCTGTCATGAACAGCTTTGTATAGGTCTCCTAATTCATGGGAGGATTTCTTTGGTGTAGGGCACAGAGGGAGCATTTTGCACCTCATTGTATGTGCCACATTGCTCTCCAAAAGGATTGCACCAAGTTTGACTTTCACATTGTTTCAGAATTTGTTCCTCTTTTTCCTTGCCACACGTGCTATTATGAAATTTTAATTTTTTCCTCTCCAATGGATGTAAAATGGTGTCTTGTTTGCATTCCTAGATTATTAGTGTGATTGTGCCTCATTTGGCTGTGTTTATGCACAGTTCTGTTTCTCACTTCTGTGACTTGTGTTCATCGACTGCATTTTGTCTTTAAGATATTGATTTTCCTTACATGTATTTATATATGTATATAAATAGATTCTATGCTTTATTATATATGTTGGCTTTTAACTTGTGGTGTTTCCTGTCAGAGGTTTATAATGTAGTTAAATTCATCGTTATTTTCCTTTATAATTTGTAGGATTTTTCCCCTAAGAAGTTCTTTCCTTTACTAAGGTTCTTTTTCCCCCCAAATTTTAAAATTTGGCTTTTCTCATTTAGTTTCTTAATCCAACCGGAATTTATTTGGACTACTCTGTAAAGTAGGCATCTCCTTTTTTTTTTTCTATATGATTAACTACTTTTCCCAGCATTATTTATTGACTAATCTGTTCTTTTCTCATTGATTTGTAGTGATAATGATGACTATAATTATTCAGTATTCACCAGGTGTAAGGTATTATTCTGGGAGCTTAAGCTGTATTAAATTATTAATCCTTACAACCACCCTAAAAGGTAGGTATCATTCTTATGCCCAAACTAAAGATGAAACAACAGGTACAGAGAAGTTAAATCACTTGCCCAAGGTCACACAGCTGTAAGTGCCTGAGCCAGGATTCTTACCCAAGCTGCCTACTTCTAGAACCCTCACTCTTAACCCAGTGTGCTAACAATATAATATTTGTGCACAGACTGTTTCTGGCTCTATTCTGTTCCATTGGTCACTTTGTCTCTCACTGAGCTGGTACAACATCGTCTTAATTACTATGATTTTATGATAAGCCATGGCTATTTTTCAGTGCTTTGAATTTTGGGATCAGCTTACAAGGTTTTATACAAATTCCTATTAGAATTTTAACTGGAATTCCATTAATTTATAGATGAATTTGGGAAAAAATGATATGAGTATTTCTGCCCATTAACAGTCTGTCTTCAGTGATTCTTCTTTTATGAATTTCAGAAATGTTCAGTAATTTTTTTCCTGTAGAGGTGTAAAACTTTGGGTTAAGCTATTTCCTGGGTCTTTTTTTCTTTCATTACCTTTTCCTAATACCTTAAAAAAATAACTGAAGTATAAAAAAAATTGAAGTATGGTTGACACACAATGTTACATGTTTCAGGTGTAAACATAGTAACATACATCATGCTGTGCTCACCGTCTGTCTCCATGTAGTGCTGTTTCAGTACCATTGGCTATATTCCCTATGATGTGCCTTTCATCCCTGTGACTTACTCATTCCATGACTAGAAGCCTATACCCCCCCCCCATTTCCCTTCACCCTTTTTGCCCATGCCCTCCCACCCTCCTCTCTGACAACCACCAGTTTATTTTCTGTTTCTGGGTCTGTTTCTGCTTTTTTTGTTTGTTCATTTATTTTTAGTTTCCATATATAAGTGAAATCATATGGTATTTGTCTTTCTCTGACATTTCACATAGCGTGATACCCTCCAGGTCCCTCCATGTTGTAGCAAATGGCAAGATATTCTTTTTTATGACTGAGTAATATTCCTGTGTGTGTGTGTGTGTGTGTATACACCACATCTTCTTTATCCATTCATCTATCCGTAGATGCTTAGGTTGCTTCCATATCTTGGCTCTTATAAATAATGCTGCAATAAACATAGGGGTGAGCATATTTTTTGAATCAGTGTTTTCATTTTTTGGGGGTAAATACCCAGTAGTGGAATTACTAGATCGTATGGTATTTCTCTTTTTAGTTGTTTAAGGAAACTTCATACTGTTTTCCATAGTGGCTCCGTAATTTACATTCCCACCAACAGTACACGAGAGTTCCTTTTTCTCCACATCCTCACCAACACTTGTTATTTGTCTTTTGGACACTAGCCATTCTCACAAGTGTGAGGTGATATCTCATTGTGGTTTTTTTTTTAAGATTTTATTTATTTGACAGAGACACAGCAAGAGAGGGAACACAAGCAGGGGGAGTGGGAGAGGGAGAAGCAGGCTTCCCACTGAACAGGGAGCCTGATGCGGGCCTCAATCCCAGGACACTGGGATCATGACCTGAGCCGAAGGCAGACGCTTAATGACTGAGCCACCCAGGCGCCCCCTCATTGTGGTTTTGATTTGCTTTTCCCTAATGTTGAGTGATGTTGAGAATCTTTTCATGTGTCTCTTGGCCATCTGTACAACTTCTTTGGAAAAATGTTTTTTCAGGTCTTCTGCCCACTTTTAATCAGATCATGTGTTTTTTTATTATTGAGTTGTAGTTCTTTATTTGGGATATTAACTCCTTATCAGCGATGTCATTTGCAAATATCTTCTCCCATTTAGTAGGCTGCCTTTTCATTTTGTTGATGGTTTCCTTTGCTGTGCAAAAGCTTTTTGTTTTGGTGTGGTCCCAATAGTTTATTTTTGCTTTTATTTCCCTTCCTTGAGGGGACAGATCTAGAAAAATGTTGTTAGGGCTGATAGCTAAGAGATTACTGCCTATGTTTTCTTCTGGAAATTTATGGCTTCAGGTCTCACATTTAGGTCTTTAATCCATTTTGAGTTCATTTTTGTATATGGTATAAGAAAGTGGTCCAGTTTCATCCTTTTGCATGTGTGTGTCCAGTTTTCCCAGCACCATTTATTGAAGAGACTGTCTTTTCCCCATTGTATATTCTTGTCTCCTTTGTTGAAGATTAGTTGGCCATAAAATCATGGGTTTATTTCGGGGGTTCTGTTCTGTTACGTTGATCTATTTTTATGCTGTACCAGATTGTTTTGATTATTATAGTTTTGTAGTGTATCTTTAAGTCTGAGATTGTGCTACTTCCAGTTTTGATCTTCTTTCTCAAAGATTGCTTTGGCTATTTGGGGTCTTTTATGGTTCCATACAAATTTCAGCTTTATTTGTTCTAGTTCTGTGAAGAATGCTATTGGTATTTTGGTAGAGATTGCATTGAATCTGTAGGTTGCTTTGTGATTGCATTGTGTAATGTTGATCTTCAATTCAGAGATAGATTGGATTCAGGTAACACATGGAAACTTGAGCCAACCTAAACATAAAAGTGGGTTTTTAATCAGACTGCAGGGGATTTCATGGTTTCTGAAGGCTGGCATGCAGGCAGTTCTAAGAACAGTAGCTAGGAAACCATCAGGAACCCATCTTGTTCTCTCTAGCCCTCGTTTCTATATTCCTGTCTTTGCAGACTGGCTTGCTGTCTACCATGTGGCTCAGAGTCTATTCCACTCTCTCAGGATAGGGAATCCAGTTGGCTCAGTTTCGGGTCAGGGCCCCAACGAGGTCCAGTTAACCATTGGGGGTCAGGGTTATGCAGTATAAAACACGCCTGGGGATCAGGGCCACATCCAAAGAAAAGCAGGGTGGCTTGTAATCTGTTTACATACCCCAAAAGGTGGTCACTGTTATACCCCCAATTCATCTTCCACTCCTGGAGAGTACTTTGTGATACCATTTTCTGATTTGCAGCTTTCAATGGTACTTTGTGCATATTGTGCATTTTTTTCTTTTCCCAATTTGTAGCTGTATTCTTCAGCACTTGTGGAATCTGAGGATCATGATCCACATAATCAAGACAGAAATTTTGATGTGGAATCAGTAAAGAAAGAAATCCACAGAGGACGGAAGTTGGTAAGTATAAATGATTTTATTACTCATAAAAGATGAACAGATCTTGAAGGGGATGTTTCCAAGAGAAAGTCTACTTGATTGGTAAACCAGAGATAGAGACACATCTTGGAGAGCTGAAAGACATAGGACCTGTATTGGAAACTTAAATTCAACTGAACATTTAATATTTTAAAACAAACTACAACACGCTTCATCAGCAAAGTAGATATGAGTTCGATTGCTTTTGGCTGTAAGTAGAAGGAACCCTCAACTCAAACTTTAACAAAAGGCTTTAACAAAAAGGATGCTCATTTTCTCACTTAGCCAGAGGGAAAACTGGCTTCAGAGTTGGTTGATTTAGTGGCCATCAAGAGCCCATCATCCTTTCTGTCATCCTGTCCACAACATCATTTGGTCCTCTTGTGGTCATAGGGTGGTCACAGACAACAACTGAAGTGTCAGTCTGTTTTATCTCTATCTGGTAAAAGAAAAAGTTCATCCCGGGCACCTGGGTGGCTCAGTTGGTTAAGTGTCTGCCTTTGGCTCAGGTCATGATCCCAGGGTCCTGGGATCAAGCCCCACATCAGGCTCCTTGCTCAGTGGGGAGTCTGCTTCTCCCTCTGCCCCTCACCCCACTCTTGTGCTTTCTCACTCTGTTAAATAAATAAAATCTTTTAAAAAAGAAAAGAAAGAATTCATCCCCAAGCATTGAATAAGAGCCCTTCTGAAAATTAAATTAGGCCACACCCATCTTCCTGCTCTAGTTGCTAAAGGTGGCCATAACTAATCAGGATCGACCCCCTTGGACCTGGGTCAGCGCCACTTGGGAAGACAAGAGTGTGGAGTAGCTACCCTATTAGTTCGGTTACAGTAGACTTCCTCTAGGAAAGGCCCTTCATGGCTTAGCAAGCAGTAACAGCAGGTGTGAGCACCTAATGCCCACCACCACAGTAAGGTTTATGATCTGGAACAAACATTTATTTAGTCTTTACAAGGCATACACATAGATGAGGGCAGTTTCTGCACAGCCTGATGTGCTTTGAGAAGGGTCAGCACAGGTCACTCAAGCAATCAAGCACCTTAGTGCAGGTGGGGCCCAGAAGACTTCCTATTTGGGGAGGAGTGAGGGTAACGAAGATGGGGAAGGAGGAATTCCAGGGAAAGGGAACAGGATGTGCAAAAGTTGGGAAGGCAAGAAAGACATGGCATGTTCCTTAAACTATAAGCGTATGACTGTGGCAGCCTCTTTACTGACTTCATGGAATTCCATGGGATTGACCAGAATGCATGAAACTATTCCCTTGTTGTTAGGTAATGAGTTGACTCCGGTTTTTCACTATAACAACTAATGTCACTGTAAACATCTTTGTACACATACCCTGTGTACTTGTTTGAGCAATGCTGTAAAGCACATTCCTAGAAGTGAAATGGCTGAGTGAAAGAGAATTCCCTTTAATAATTTTGAAACATGCGGGGCACCTGGGTGGCTTAGTCAGTTATGCATCTGCCTTCCCCTCAGGTCATGATCCCAGTGTCCTGGGATTGAGCCCCACATCAGGCTTCCTGCTCAGCAGGGAGCCTGCTTCTCCCTCCCCTGCTCCCCCTGCTTGTGCACCCTCTCTCACTGTCAAATAAATAAGATCTTTAAAAATAATAATTTTGAAACATGCCAATAAACTGTCCCCCAGAAAGGTTGTACCATTTTATACTTCAGTGGATGAAAGAACATTTTTCCCAGCCCTTGACAAAAATGAGTATCATGAATTTTGTTAATTTTTGCGTCTGACAGGAAGTGTCACCTTGCATTTCCCTCATCACTGGAGAGAGGTTGAACGTTAGTTCTTCTTAGGCATCTGTCTCCCTCCCGGCCTACCCAGCCCCAGCAGTTCTTCCATGATCCCTCTACAGTCAGTGGCCCCATCTCATAGGCACTGTCCTGCAAACAGCCTGGACTCCCTCTCCCCACCACCCACGTGTACATTTCCTTACTCACCTAGCAAACCACCACCACCCCCGCCCCTGCCAGTGAAATGCACCTGTCTGTTGTCTGCATATGCTGAGCAGTACTGGCACTTGAACAGTTGACCAACTGGACAAAAACCCACAAATGTGTTGAGTGATCTTAGATTCATGGCCACAAACCTCAAAAGGAACCTCAACACGTCACCCTCCACCCTCTACCTTTGCTGTTTCATATCCTCTCATCTTTTTTTAAAACCTCCCCCCCCAACTGCTCATCCCCAAGTTGATGACTATGCCTTATTTTTTTTTTATAGACTTTATTCTTTTAGAGCAGTTTTAGGTTCATAGAACACTTAAGGGGAAAGTACAAAGATTTCTCATATACTTCCCACCCCCACACATACACAACCTTCTTTTTATCAACATCCCCCACCAGAGTGGTCATTGTTACAACTGATGAACCTACACTGACATTTCATGAAAACACCCGAAGTCCGTAGTTTATGTCAGGGTTCATCTTGGTACACCTATCTTTGTCTGATTTTTATCGAGAAATGGAAGCCATTAGCCAAGAACTCCTACTATTCAAACCACTGCCCATCCACCTCTGTCCCCAGACTCTGCGACCTCCCTCTTGTCAAAGTCAACCCTCCACTTAAGACTTTGGAGTCATCACCTGCCCCTCTTTAAGGATTAGGCTCTTGCATTTCCCCCCTTGTACTAGATTATTTCCTTCAGCCTATATCCAAGATCAACTGATCATGTCATCTTAAATTAAATCCTCCTTTGTAAAATTATTAAAACCTGGTCAATTACAATGTCACTTCTGTCCTTAGCTGACCTTTCAGCAGTATTCATCACAGTTGTCCGTGCCCTGCATCCTGAAACACTTTCTTCCTTTGACTTCCTACACGTACACTCTGCTACTATGTCTCTCACCTTTCTGGCTGCTTCCTCCCAAGCACCTGGGCTGTTTTTCCTTCTCTGCTAAATCTCTAAAGTGTACAGTCCCCAAGGTTCTCCTGGGCTCCTTCCTCCATCTGAACATCTTTCCTGTGTGACCTCTTCCAGTTCCCATGGCTTCAATTCCTACTTATGCCAGGGACTCTATACCTCCAGCCATTAAAACCAACCTGACATATCTACGTGAGTAATAGCATCTCATATTAAACTGGCCAGTGAACACAGTTCCAGCCCCTGCACACATATACACACACTCCATCTAGACCTGTTCACTCCTCACCTCAATGAACTGCCAACCATTCATCCATCATCATCTTCTCATCAACCTCCCAGCCCAGCATCCAGCCTATCAGCGTCACCCTGCAGACCCTCTATCCTCCCTTTTTTTTTTTTAAAGATTTTATTTACTTGACAGAGACACAGCGAGAGAGGGAACAGAAGCAGGGGGAATGGGAGAGGGAGAAGCAGGCTCCCCGCTGAAAAGGGAGTCCAATGCGGGGCTCGATCCCAGGACCCCGGGATCATGACCTGAGCCAAAGGCAGACGCTTAACGACTGAGCCACCCAGGCGCCCCTCTATCCTCCCCTTCTCTCTGTCACTAACCCCCTGCAGTAAAGTCATGGATCTCCCTCAGACACCTGCTAATAAACATCACTGATCTTTGTTTTGCACTCTCTCCTGCCCATCCCTACCCCAGTCCATTCTCCACACAGCCACAATAGTGTCTTTAAAATACTGATCACTTAGGGCCCCTGGGTGGTTCAGTCTGTTCAGCATTGGACTCTTGATTTCAGCTCAGGTCATGATCTCAGGGTTGTGAGATTAAGCTCCATGTCCAGCTCTGTGCTCTGCAGTCAGCACTGAATCTGCTTGGGATTCTTTCCTTCACCCTCCCCCTCTGCCCCTCCCTCAGCTCATGTTCTCTCTCAAATAAATAAATCTTTTTTAAAAAATAAAATACTGATCACTTTATGTTCCCATCATACAAAAACAAAACCCCAACCCCTTACTCTGCTTTGTAACCCCTACATGACCCAGCGTTTCCTTACCCCTCGGATCTTACCTCTGACTTCCCTTACCCTCATCTCTGCCCCAACAACATCAGCCCACCCCTCTTGTCCTTCCAGTAAGCTTGCCAGTAGGAGGCTCATTTTTGCCATAGGAATATAAAGGCTTCTGCCTAGAATATCCTTCCCCCTGCTTTTTTGCCTGCTGGGAGCTCTTAGTATTCAAATCTAAACTTCTGTATCACCTCCTCAGAGAGGAGGGAATGTGTCCCAATCTGAAATAGGGACGCAGTGAAAATGTCACTCACCTTATTTTAATTCTTACAAAGCATGTATCACTATGTTTTTTTAAGATAATTCATACATTTTTATTAGCTCATTCTTTGCACTAATTAAGCACTTGGTAAATATTGACATCGATAGTCTTATTGCTATAATTACTAGAGATGTTCTTATTTTTGTTAAAATTGAAATTTATGTTCATTAAAAGACATCATTAAAGACAGTGAAGAAACAAAACACAGACTGGGAAAAGATATTTACAACACATGTATCACTGTGTTTTTAACTTTGCTTTATGTGATCATGGTCTGTCTCTCTCCACTAGAATGTTAACTTCACAAGGGCAGGTACCTTGTCCCCTGCTGTTTCCCTCTACCCTAGAACAGTGCCTGACACATCACAGTTACTCAGTAGTCTTTAAGTGAATGAAATTTTATTAGCCATTTGTATTTCTTCTGTGATTTGCCTGTTCTCATTTTTCTGAGTTTATCAGTCTTAAACCTTTATCAAATATGCAGCAAACATTTTTCTTTTTTTATTGATACAGTTGACATACAATATTAGTTTCGGGCATACAACACAGTGATTTCACATGTATATGCGTTATGAAATGATCACAATAAGCCCAATTACCATCTGTCACCATATTCCAATATTGTTGACCATATTCTCTATGCTCTGCATTATATCCCTGTGATTTTTTTTTTTTTTAAGATTTTATTTATTTGACAGAGAGACACAGCAAGAGGAAACACAAGCAGTGGGAGAGGGAGGAGCAGGCTTCCCACTGAGCAGGGAGCCCGATGCAGGACTGGATCCCAGGACCCTGGGATCATGACCCAAGCCAAAGGCAGACGCTTAACGACTGAGCCACCCAGGCGCCCCATGAAAGCCTGTACCTCTTAATCCCCTTCACCTACTTTGCCCACAGTTTGTTCATTGTATTAATGAGTCTGTTTCTGTTTGCAAACATTTTCATTGTTTTTTTGGTAGCTGTCACTATAAAAATGGAGAACTACATTTTTTATGTAGTCAGATCTGTCAGTCTTTTTCTCTGTGACTTCTGAGTTTCCTTCCTTGCTTAGTCTTCCTGACCTTAACCCCATACATTTTCATTAACTTTAAAACTTTTTCTCAGAGCCTTAATCCATGTGGAATTTATTTGGTAATATATTGTGAGGTAGGGATGTAACTTCTTTTCTACACATAAAGCCAGATGCCCCCCCCCCCGGCCAAATTAAATGATCTTTCTTTGTGCTCTGATTTGAAATTCCACCTTTAGCATAATCTAATTTCTTACCCATATTTGAATTTTCTTTATTTGTATGGTTGTTTGTGCTGACCTTAGGATACTGTTCGAGGTATTTCCTGTTTTGCAAGGTGGTTTCATTGTGCTTCCCCTTCATTCAGACAGAGCCTGCTATAAATCATATCAGCATTGGGCATGGCTTGGACTCCCCTAAACCAGTTAGATTGCTATGGCCACATACTGTCCTAACCATCTCTACACCACCTTCAATATATAAAATACCAGATCAACTGACTAATATATAAAAGAGATCAAATAAATAGAACTTGGAAAAAATTTGCTACTCAGGGTTGGTTTGTTTTTTTAATTTTAAATTTTTGGCCCTACTACATAGATTCCAGAGAGGTTTCACTTACTTTATCTCATGTTGTCCTCAGTAGAAACCATGAGTCAGTGTTATCCGCAGGGAGGGATCTGGGTCTAAGAGAGGGGAGAGACTGCTGGATCACGCAGCTCTCAGTGGTACCATCAGAAACCACCCTCACCATGGGCCCCAGTGTCCCTCACAGGACCCCTTGCCTGGTGCAGGACAAATCTCTTTTTAGAAATCTCGTAAAAAGAGAAAGGTTTTGTTTGTTTTAAAACAAAAAGGGTTTTCTACTTTTAGTCAGATCATTACAGGTCAGTGCCAACCAAGTACTTAGCAGAAGTTTTGCTGAAATCTCAAAATGAGCAGCCAGATGTAAATACCTAACATTTGTGGCTGAGGACGTTAGGGCTGCAGACTTAAAAATAACATTTAATGATGTCTTTAACTTTAAATTTTAACAAAGATTATGAAAAACAGGTGCTTACTCAGTAAAATTTATTCTTCTGTAGAAATGTTCATTTTGTAGTAAAAAAGGAGCCACCGTGGGATGTGATTTAAAAGCCTGTAGCAAGACTTACCACTTTTTCTGTGCCAAGAATGACCAAGCAGTCCTACAAAATGATGAATCTCGAGGAATTTATAAGTATGTATACTTAAACAGTTTTAAAGCTACATTTGGGGGAATGGAATAAGGAATGGTTAGATTAAGACAAAGAGTTTTTTTTTTTTTTTTTTTAAGATTTTACTTATTTGAGCACAAGCAGGGGAGCGGCAGGCAGAGGGAGGGGGAGAAGCAGGCTCCCCGCCGAGCAGGGAGCCCGATGCAGGGGCTTGATCCCATGACTCTGGGATCATAACCTGAGCAGATGCTTAACCAACTGAGCCACACTGGCACCCCAACAAAGAGGTTTTTAAAGATAATTTTATGCAAATGGTTTCCAAGTAAGAACGTGGTTTGGGGGATGCGCAGTTGGGAACCTGACTTCACAATATCTTCCCTCAGTATTATAGAAAGAAAATGAGCAGAGTTGGTTTTGGTTTTAATCTTCCTAAATGCCTTCTTTCCCAACAGAAAGCACTGGTTGCCATACTGGCATGTGTGACCTAATGGGTGGTCACAGGACCTAGAACCAGTTCACTATTGCTCTCCCCTGCAAACAGGAGCCTTGTGAGCCACAAGTCCATGGTTTATCCATCTTGTCTGCTGAATGAATGTTTTTTCCCACCACTCTCACCACCGTCTTACCTATAAAGAGCTTCTAAAAATGATAAACTATGCAGCAAATATAGTAATCAGTCATTAAGTTCTTGAAGAAATTAATCCTGTTTGAATTGCCTTTGGCTTTTAAAATGTTGCTTCCCTCTTTCAATAATTCTTTAATGTTAATTTTGACCCAGTAAGGCATATTTCAAGTCCAACAGAATTGTATTTGTTTTATCCAGGAAGAAACCTGATCTTCCTTCTGACGAAAGGTTGCAGTTAAATAGACAATTTAGTCAAACGAAATCAGTAAGCCAGTTGTTAACTGAATTGATTCAAGTCATGTTCAGTTTTTTGGTATGTGGATGCAGTCTAAAACATGTCATATAGGGGCACCTGGGTGGTGCAGTTGGTTGAGCATTTGCCTTCGGCTCAGGTCATGATCCTAGGGTCCTGGGAATGAGCCCCGCATCGGGCTCTCTGCTCAGTGGGGACTCTGCTTCTCCCTCTCCCTGTGCCTCTCCCCCTGCTTGTGCTATCTGTCAAATAAATAAATAAATTTTTAATAAAATAAAATATAAAGTTAAAAAGATATCTAGAAGAAGTTTTGACCTTTTTTAAAGTTATGAAATGGAATATAAAAGAAAATGATGGTCTGAAGTTGAAGAGCTAGGCAGATACTTTTCACTTCTTTGGGGTATGTGCATACATTCTGATGGAATATTTTAAATTTCAGTTGAAATATTTTTATTCACAATATTCTGAATGAGAGCATTATCTTTTTAATATGATTTCTGTGAGATCCTAAATATTTTAAAATTGCATTTGGAGGCTAGATTTTTCCCCTTTGGGCACACACCCCCAGTTTCATCAAAGTGTTTCAGGCACTATGTTGTTTTATCTAAATAATCACTTACTTTGTGCAAGAAATACTTCCAACTACTTTACAAATGTTAACGCATATAATCCTCATAACAACCCAGTGAGGTAGGTATTTATCCCCACTTTACAGATGCAGACACTGAGGCCCTGTGAGACTTAGTCATTTGTCCCCAGGTCACACAGCTGGTGAGTGGCAGAGCTGGGCTTTAGGGCTTTGGAGTTCTTGCTCTTCACCACATCCTCTTCAGGCTTAGGGGCCTATATTCTAAAACAGTATGGGCAAGCATATTATTAAAAGGAATTTGTTAAATAATTTTACATCTGATTTTGAGCAAGTTCCATAGGTATTTTATTGCTTGAGTCTAAAAAGGAATGTGTGAATCATACTAATTTTGTACCATACTTTTTATATTTGATTTGCTCAGAAACTCATAGATTGTATTTTTTTTTTTTACCTTCCCAAAGAGTTCATTATGACTTCCATAATGACCTCACACACCCACTAGACACACTGTTATTAGCAGAGCTACAAGACTGAACAAAAAGGAGTCAATTCCTGTTATATCTTAAACTGCAAAAATACTGGTCTTGTGTTAGTAGAACCAAGGAATAGAGACTCAATGAAAATAATCATTTTTGTCATTACCAAGTATCAGGTGAACTTCTATGTACTTTTTAATTGATTTTAAATATTCAGTTGTTAGAGTGCCTATAATACACAAGGTATCTTGCTAGGTGCAGTAAGAATATAAAGAGGAATAGGACATGGGCTAAATCTCAGAGAACCTAGCACCTCTTTGGAAGGACCAGAGGCCAGAACAAATAGAAGCATGTGGCATGATGGGAGCAGGAGGGGATTTGCATGAAACTGGCTTGGCCTTGAGTTGATAATTGTTGAAACTGAGTGATGGGTTGGGGGGCTATGGGGCTTATCATCTCTTCACTTTTAGATCTGTTCGAAATTTTCCATAATAAAAAAAAATGTAAGTGCCTAGCAAACGAAGTGTGCAGATACTGGAATCCAATGGGTGAGATTAATTTTGCTTGGGGCAGGAGATGGGTTGCTAGGAAGATTGCATGTAAAAGGTAGAAATTGGTGTAAAACAGGAAGAATTCATATGTTCCCACAGGCAAGAAGGAGCCTGCCTCCTGAGGGTCAGCACCTTAAGGAAAGGAAGGGAGATGTAGCTGGGGGCTGAGGATAGAGCCTGGGGAAGATATGGAACCTGAGCAGCTCCTCAAAATTCATTCACTCCATTTCTTCTTCATAGCCTGCTGTGCTGCTTGCTTCTCTTCTAGGGCATTGATCAGTTCTAGATTCATGCAGTTCAACTCTAAAGTCTGGGGGAAGATAACTGCTGAGTTAGAAAACGACTTTCCCCAAAATTCATGCATGCAATTTTGTGCTATTTATTGTTGAAAATCAGAACTTTGTGTAGTCAGATGAAAATTTGTCTTAGATGTTGTATCTTTAGATACCTTTCTTTATACAGTAAAATCCCACTGACCACGATGTATGAGTTACTTACCATTGTTCAAAATGTTTCACACGCACTCCTTCGGAGAGTGTACCAACTTGAGGGCTGAGAACACAAAAGACATCTGACAGAGGCTCCGTCCGCATTTGATGATGAGGGTCAGTAACTTACACAGGTTTGGACAGCATTTTTCTTTTACAAATATTTAGGGTAAGGCCATCATGAAAAATAGACTAGTTCCTTTTTAAATCATAAGAAAATAGGAATATTTCAGAAGTGTAAGTAAAAATATTTAACAATTCTTTGAAATTGCATGTTTCAGAGTGTTTTGCAAACAACATGCTCCATCGAACGACGCTCATAATGGTAAGTCTCTAAAATTTAGTACTGTGGGTTTAAAGAAAGGTATACATTTAGGTAAGACATGGAATATCCTGATTTACTAGCCTCACTGAATTAAATACAAATTTTTGAGTTAAGTTTTTAATACTTATAAAATTGCCAGTTTCTTTGTGCAGTATAATGGACTAACTTTTCTTCTTTGCAAACTAGACCCACTCCCAGGAACGTCTGGTACCTTCCAATCTCACTACAATCAGAGGGCCAAACAAGGACGTGGTAAAAACCTTTGACTTTTGCAACTGCTTCTCTTCTAAAATATCAGTAGTTATAAAATTGATAAATTGCTGCACATTCCCTAAAATTTCCTAAGAATGCATGATTAGCATTTCAGTTATAATTAAGGAAAACTGGGCCCTGGCTAACTGGACTCACGGGCTGTACATTCACTCATGAATGGCCTCTGCTGCCTGAATAGCAGTGTCTCACCAGCACAAAATCTGGAATGCTCACTGTGGACCAGTCAGGACCTCTTTGGAAAAAACTTAGTTCCACATCATGCCAACTGCATTTTTTGATGCTAAACAACACTCTCTAAACAGTATTGTTACCCTCATTTTTCAGTCAATACCCTTTGATCAGGAATTATAAAAAATATAGCTTCGATCAGTGTTTACTAATAGGGAAAGGTAACAATGTAGTCTTAATTTTTAAATTTCTTTTTTAAGAGAAAGCGTGCACGAGCGGCGGGGGGTGGGGAGGGGCAGAGGGAGAGAGAGAATCTCAAGCAGGCCCCACACGCACCATGGAGCCAGACACGGGGCTCAATCTCATGACCCAAGCCAAGAGTCAGATGCTCAACCAACGGAGCCACCCAGGCGCCCCAATATTTAAATTTTTTTTTAATGTATTAGTTTTTAAAAGCAGATAACACAGTTATGAATCCTCTCCCCAGAAGAAACTATCAGTTTCATTTGAATTCTTCTAAAAATTTCCTGTACATAATACTATATTTTGTTTTCACTCAGACATCCTTCTATATCTATACAAATGGATCTACCTCATTTTTGAAAGGCTGCATAATATTCGACTGTGTGTGTTATTATCAGTTGTATAGCTGAATTACAACTGAACTAGTCTCTGCATGGACACTGAGGTTATTTCCTTTTTTTTTCTATCACATCAAATAGTGTAGTTAACATTTTTCTCCATCTTTGTGCCTTTATGCAGCTGTACCATTTGGAAAACTTTGTGTAGATTGCTGGGTCAAAAAGTATAAACAGTGAGACTGTGATAACAACTGGCTAATTCTCTTCCAAAGAGGCTGCACCAGCAGTACACAATTACCCCAATCCTTGCAAATATATTAAACAAACACTTTCATCTTTGTCAGTCTGATAGGTGGAAAATTATTTTGCATGTCTTTACTTATGAGTAAAATTGAGTGTATTCCCCTTTTGATCTATACATCTGTTTTCCTGTGACACAGTCTGTTTTTCTATTTAATGAACTCTTCCTAGAGGGTTCCCCATTGGCCTATTTTTCTATTCATTTGTTTTATAAGATTTTTATATTTTGAAAATTGGTGCTTTATCATATGTGTTGCAAACATTTAGTGTTAAGTTTGCCATATCTTTTGACTTTGTAATAACTTTTAGTATATAAGAGTTTTCTATTTTATGTAGTCAAGCATCAGTCTTTTCCTTTATGGATTCTGGTTTCTACATGATTTATATTTTCAATTGATTTTTCAGGACTGAAAAGAAAAAGAGGAAGGAAGAAATGTCTCTCAAAAGACGTTCATGTATGTTGTATAATAAAATGACTTCATTTTATTATAGCTTTCAGTTTCTTCACACAGTTTCTTCCTTATTTTAACCACATATCCGGTGAAATGGTAACAGAACCATAATGAGCTGAATGTAAAAGTTGGATGTGTTGGGTATCCCAGCACATGCCCTTCAGGAGGTGACAGTCCTATGGCTCTGATAACACACGTCCTGGTACCACATCAGTGAAAGTATCAGAGCCCACAGTGTGCTTATTGTCTTAAAATGGGCAGAGGTGCAGTAAAGCATCCTTACCTAACCAAGTATTTCTCAGCTGCATGATCCACACTTGACCTGATTTGTGATTTTCATAATTTTCTGCATTACTATTATGTGCAAAGTGTATGAAATGTTTTGGGGATTTGAAACCGTTTTTTACACATCCACTCATATGAGCTAAATTAATATTCATATGAGCTAAATTAATATGAGCCAGCAACCTTCCCCTCTTGCTGTTAGCTTGCCACACTTCTTGTTTTGTTATACAAAAATGATTTGATGTTTACATGTAAACTACCAATGAATATGGGGCATGATTTTTCACCACAGGCATATCATTGAATTGTATGCAAAAGACTAGTTTTCATTTTACACAATATTAAATGTCAACCGTAAATCAATGTAATCTTAATTTTTCTCTCCCTCTAGCCACCTGAAACGTTGACATTAGATAGATTCATGAAGGAAGAGGAAGGCAGACACACAGGTTTGCTATAAATTTTGTATCAAATGACTTACAGTACTTATAAAAATAACCCATTTACTTCAAAGTTGGATCCCACTTTATTCTTCTAGACTTACAGTAATTGTAAGAAAAGAAACCTTTTATCATAATTATCTACTCTATCATAGCCCCAGGTCAAAGTAATTTAGATGGGGATGGTCCATTGTTCTTTGGTATTAAGAAAGAAAGGATACACTTCCTGGTCTAGAAGCCAGGATTACCTAAGCTCAGAATCCAGTCCTGTGCTACCTCTTGTACTGTGACCCCAGGAAGGGGTCCAGGAAGCTGAGGCCAGTCACTGTAGCTTTCTGTCAGGGAAACAGACATTCCATAATGACACACAGTAACTGTGACAGAAAAAATGATGGGAGCTATTATCTCAAAGATCTGCAGCTAAATTTTAAAAAATCTTCTTGACTCAGATAATTAGTCTAAGGGAAGTTTTTCTTTTCACTTTTTGTAACATTGTTTCAGTGAGAAAAACATGAGGTATGATGAAATTACAATAAAAGATAAAGGTGCTATATTTATTATCCTATTGACTGTGCTCATCCACCACTAGGCATGGTCTGAAGAAATGACCATAAAGGGATTTATGAGAGCTGCTCTAGATCATTTCCTCCTAAAATGTTTTTCTTATTCTTACATGCAGCTGTGAAGGCTGGTTTTCTTAAGAAATGTAAGGAAGCGGGGCTTCTTAATGATTTATTTGAAGAAATATCAGACAAACTTCATTTGATTCAAGAAAGACTCATGGGCGACACTGCTTCTGATTCAGGTACTGAAATAGCAACATTTCTATGTGCAGAGACTTCTCGCAAACCTACTTCTAAAACAGACCAAACCAAAAGTACACATTTTCTTTCTATGCAATTTCTTTAATACAATTCACTGTTCCAGGTCTCTAGTCTTCTATGTATCAACAGGATGTGGGTAATTCACAAACTGATCCAGTGAAAAGCAGGCTGGGGCCCTGCAAGTTGTGATGGGTTTTGCAGACGCGCGTAGCCGAGAGTGACAGCCAACAGCACATGGACGCTCAGAACCACAGGCAGTTACACATCTGCGCCCTCACCGCTTGTTGCTAACATCTGAGAATATCATGTTACAGTTTTGATTTGACTCAAATTCTGTTCCTTATGTCTTTTTTTGGTAATGTCAACTCAAAGCTTATAGAAGAAAAAAGGAATGTTTTGTTTGATGTTGCACCTAGTTAATGTGACCTTTCAGAAAGAGCTCTTTGGGAAGCCAAAGTTCCATTTGTATATGCAAGTATATAGCCACTTAGCCTTCTTAGACCCTACACTGTGAGCTTAAAAACTTTATGATAAATGCAGTTATTTTGCAAGGAAAAGACTGACAGTCTATATTGTAGGCACCAATGTAAAGTCTATGAGTATTTGAAAGGGATTATTTTCTATAGGACAAAACCAAAAAGTGAAATTAAGAGCAAACTTCCAAAAATTCATTCATTACATTCATTCATTTCCTCTTTACTTGAGACTAAGTACTTCTCAAACTTGAACATGCCTCTCAGAGCTCCTAAAGGGCTTGTCAAAACTAGTAAGTGGGCCTCACCTCTGGAACTTCTGATGTGGTAGCAGAGCCAAGCATTTGCATTTCCACCACGTCCCCGGGGACACTGCCGCTCCTCCGGTGTGAGACGGAAATCGCACCGTGCTGGCGTGTTCTGTGTGCTTTTCCATTCCTTATTTGGGGTTAGTTTGTAAGGGGTTTCTGCCTGTATCGGTTATTTAAATTAGAACTGAAAATGTGTTTCTCCCTACAGACCATGAAGAAATCGAGACTTCACTTTTTGACTGTAAATTGTTTGAAGACACATTTGTAAATTTTCAAGCAGGTATGAGTTATAACCGAGCAGCATAATTTATATATATATATATATATATATACACTGAAGTAATATAATAAATACTATTCAGGTGATAAACATCATTTTAGAAGAATGTTCATCATCTTACTAAATGAAAAAACCCAACACAATGCAGTACGAGCCCTCACACACACAGAAAAAACGTACCCAAATGGGAACAGTCGTTATCTGTAGGGGGCCGGAAAGTGCTGCATTAGATTTTCCACATTTTCTACATATACACAATACCTCAGTAATCAGAAAAAAAACTCAATTTTTTGTTTCTACTTTTTTAAATGATTGCAAAATGGGAGGTCGTTAGGCCCCGTATTCAGGACTCAGCAGGAGCTGGGGAGGTGGCAAGGCTGTGACATTCGATGTGTACAAATTTTCATTCTCCCAATATTAATCTTCAATCTAACTGGGGGAAGGAGGGTTGCAATTCACTGACTCTAAAGATGAGCAAGAAAAAACAGTCGAGACGTTTTTGAAAAAGAAGCAAGCCTGGTGGGGGCAGAGACTCAATGGTTGCTATTTTATAAAAAGCTTTTGCTGAATCATTTACTGTACACCCGAAACTAACAGGACACTGTATGTTAATAATACCTCAACCACTCAGTGAGTAGGTCCTCCCACCCTTAAGATGCTTTCAAAACCGGCTACATTTCCACTTACAGAAGTCAGACCAGATTCATCTGTATCAAGCTGCCACTCAGCGGGACAGGCTGTGCACTGCACATCCCAGCCAGAGTGGGACACAGAACTGGGTGTGAACGGCTCCCCCTACAGTTGCACAACCACAGTGTCCTACTCTCCATTCAGATAATCAGCCTATCCTTTAACGGTCTCTTGAGAATGTCTGCTCGCTGCTAATGCGAGTATCCACCTATTTTTTAAAAGCAGCCTTTAAAATCTTTTTCTAAAAAGCCTTATTTTGTAGGGGACTTTCATCTGTGTTACTTTTCTTTCATATGAAAGTCACGTTTCCTCTACGTGCATGGGTCAGTTGGGAGGATATACGTTATAGTGTAGTACTTGGAGGGAGTGGGGCAGCAAGAGGAGACACTATTTGGAATTGCATTAGAACCAACTTTAAAGGCCTAACTTGACATCCTTACTGATACAGACTCTCTTGCGTAGTTTAATTAAAGTTGCTCAGTTCTAATGTTCCAGAAAGTTAACTACAGGTATTCTAGAGAAAGATTGTATGTTTGTGTTTTAATACTCTTCAACTTTGAAGTTTTCAAAAAACATTGTCACTGAGTAATACTGTTATTTATAAAGCCTAATTAAAGTATCTTCTTCCTATGTTTCCACATTAAAGGCCTTCCTTTTTCTAAATAAAACCAAAAGCTTTTATGTAACATTAAAAACTGGATGCATTTTTATGAAAGATTTGCCCTTATCCTTGATATTCGAACCACATGCTCTCTCCACTTATTATCTCTCAACAAATGGGTATAGTGCAGCATGAAGGTTATACAATCTCTGCTTCTGAGTTCTCAAAGATATACAAAAGAAGGGACTCAAGCTCTAAAGATGTACTGACCGGCTTTATGTGATAAAAACTAGAATTCTATCCTGAATTAGAAGAGGAACCAGTTCCTGCTCACAAGGCCCTATTTTCTTTTCATGTGGGGCACAGCCGTGTCTATTATGTACTTGCAAGTGAAAGAGGCCAGAAATAGTACATTGTTTATAAAACTACTAACCTGAAATTTCTTGTTATCATAGGAATACAGAAGAAAATCCATCAACGTGAAGAATGGCAGAAGCAACTGAATGACGAGATTGGGGTACTTAAGGATTTAAACCAAACCGTGTGCTCTCTTCAAGGAGATAGAGACATAATGTCAAGTTCTACTTCAGTATCTTCTGTGTCTTCTAAGGATTACCATTTCCTAAATCAGGAATGAGGCTCAGTTGCAAGCAGGCTACAAACTGAAGACCTGACTTGTGGAAGCCACACATCTTTAGAACTAGGCCTCTCCTGTCTCTCTGGACTTCAAGCTTCAATCTTCATCAACTCTTACCTGTTCTTGCTGATTGACATTTCATTTGATCCTGCCTCCCTCTTATTATCATCTCATTTCTCTCCAATAAAATGTTTCTCAGATTCTACTTGAGTAAACTGGATCACACCTCCCATCTCTCCCACCCTCTGCACTTAAAATCCTCTGGTAGCTTCATGCTGGTGCATATTCCGCCCCCCTTCCCCCGTCCCCCACTCCAGTGATCTACATTGATTCCAGTAACACACAGGGTGCTCCTGGAAGTAAAGGCTCCCCAGGGCCTTTGCATATCTTGCTGTGAAGCCTTAACTGCTCTTTTACCTTTCTCTGCCTGTTCCTCCTGCAGATCTCACTATACCAGTTCTGCCACTCATTTTTCCTTCCCATCACTTCCCAGTGTAACCCACTGTATCTTACATCATTCCCTTAGGGTACAAGCTGTCTGAGGGCAAAAACTCACTATTCCTGTGTTTTGCTACCAACACATTCCCAGCACCTAGCACGCTCAATAAATGTTAAATAAATGCATAAATTGTTCTTATCCTTTGAGACTAGTTTCAGCTTATAATGAGATATAATAAATTTGAGTATTTTTACTCCACTTGTACCAAATTCACTGGTCATCACGAAGTCTGCTTTTTAAATTTCAGCCGCTGTCATTACATGGGCATACATCTTCTTCAAAATAAACATTTAAATTATAACAACTCTTTGAATAAGAACATCAGTGGAAATATGCAAGAATGAAAAACCAGGGGTGCTGGGGTGGCTCACTTGGTTAAATGACTGACTCCCGATTTCGGCTCAGGTCATGATCTCAGGGTTGTGAGACCCGAGTCCCATGTCAGGCTCTGCTCTGAGCACAGAATCTGCTTGTCCCTCTCCCTGCTCTCTAAAATAAATAAATAAAATCTTAAGAAAAAAAAAAAGATTTTTCTCAACCTAACAATATACAATTTGGATTTTTATGCACCACCACGTGTGATGCCTGAAAACCTCACATTCACATTTCTGATTTTTTACCATACTACTGAGATTTGCAATAATGCTATATTTCAAAATGAGTTTCATCCAAGTCCCCAGCATGGTGTCTAGCATGTAATAGTACTCAAAAAATACCCGTGGAAGGAATATGGTAGAGGTGAAAAGGAACATGCCCATTCCTGTTTTAATGGCAACCCTAGCTGAAATCATGATGAGCTGCGGGACAAAAATCTCTATCTGGTGGTTTTCAAATTCAGCTGCGTATCAGAATTACCTGGGCATTTAAGAAACTACAGGATGGGGGCGTCTGGGTGGCTCAGTCAGCTGGGTAGCTGCCTTCAGCTCAGGTCATGATCTCAGGGTCCTAGGATCGAGGCCCGCGTCAGGCTCCTTGCTCAGCGGAGAGCTTGCTTCTCCCTCTCCCTCTGCCTGCTGTTCAGCCTACTTGTGCACTCTGTCAAATAAATAAAAACCTTAAAAAAAAAAATTTAAAAAATTAAAAAGCAACTACAGGATGGAGTCCAGGAAGATGGTGGGGTAGAAAAGATCCCAAACTCACCTCCTCCCCCGTGGTGAGGCAACAACTACACGTCCTGCAACTCACTCTGAAAGCCACCCAAAGACTGGCACAACAGGCCTTACACAGCTAGACCTGGAGAGGCGGCCGCATGAGAAGGGGTACAGACACAGTTGGGAACTAAACCCCCGGGGGTGACTCCCCACAAATGGTAGGGACATCGCAGGCACAAAGTAGTGAGGGTATCAGGCCCTACACTGGGTACCCCGGCTCTGGGGATCCACACTGTGAAGGCAGGTTCCGAAAACATCTGGCTTTGAAAATCAGCAGGGCTTCAATCTGGGAGCTTTAAAAACCAGTGGGGCTGACCTCAGAGCTGGAAAGCTATAGGAAATGGAGTCGCCATCCTTAAATAGCCAGCATGCTAAATAACGGCCCAAGACACTGCACAGTTGCAGGAGTTTGAAAAGCACCTGGCATATAGGTAAAGATTTATTGACTAACTTTAGGATGTACACCAGAGGAGCAGGGATCTGCAGACTTTTGTTCTCTGGGAACAAAAGTGTTGGCCGGTGCTATTCTTCTTGCCCCCCACCCTAGAGAGCCAGATGCTGTCAGGAGCCAGTTCTGACACTCTCCATCTACCTTGCCAGCATCATGTGCCCTGCCCCTGCATTCCCCTGAAGAACCAGCCCATTCAACCCATGGGCCCACAGGCACCTGCACTGCCACACCCAGTGGGGTGGTTCACTTACAAACTTAGTAGGGAGGTTAAATTATATATACAAAAATTAGTCAAGGGATACACAAAACAAAAACATGTAAAATATGACATATAAAACACAGAGGAGGGAATAAAAATTTAATGTGCTTTTACAATGTGTTTGAACTTAACTAACCATCAACTCAATATAGACTGCTATACAAATATGATGTCACATATGAACCCCAGGGTAACCACACACAAACCAAAAACCTATAATAAATACAGAAAAAGTAAAGAGACTAGAAACTGAGCATGACACTACAGAAAGCCATCAAACCACAAGAGAAAAGAGCAAGAGAAGAAAATAGAACTACAAAAACTAGAAAACATTAACAATGGCAGTGAGTACATACATATCAATAATTACTTTAAATGTAAATGCACTAAATGCTCCAATCAAAAGACATAGAGTGACTGAATGGATTAGAAAATAGGACCCATCTATGTGCTGCCTACAGAAGACCCACTTCAGACCTAAAGACACAAACGGTGAAGGGACAGGAAAATATACATGTTGCAAATGAAAGTGGAAAAAAAAAAAAAAAGGCGAGGGTAGGTATACTTGTATCAGGTATACTTGTATCAGATAAAATAGACTTTAAAACAAAGACTGTAATAAGAGACCAAAAAAGGTCATTACATAAAGATAAAGGGATCACTCCTATAAGAGGATATAGTTTATGTACCTAACACAGGAGCACCTAAACATATAAAGCAAATATTAACAGACATAAAGGGAAAAGTTGACAGTAATACAATAACAGTAGGGGGCTTTAACACCCCACTTATATCAATGGATCATTGAGACAGAAAATCAGTAAGGAAACCGTGGCTTTGATACATGAAACCAGATGGACTTAACATATATATCGTACATCCCATGTAAAACCACAGAATACACATTCAAGATCACATAACAGGCCACAAAGCAAGTCTTCATAAATTTAAGACTGAAATTATATCAATTGTCTTATCCAACCAAATGAAACTAGAAATCAATTACAGGAAAAGTGGAAGAAACACAAACATGGCTAAATAACATGTTACTAAACAACCAATGTGTCATCAAAAAAAATCAAAGAGAAAAAAATACCTGGAGACAAAAGAAAATGGAAACATGACAATTCAAAATCTTTGGGACACAGAAAAAGCACTTCTAAGAGGGATGTTTATAGCCATACAGGCCTACCTCAAGAAACAAGAAAAATCTCAAACAATTTAACTCTACATCTAATGGAGCCAGAAAAAGAAGAACAAAGTCCAAACTTAGCAAAAGAAAGAAAATAATGATCAGAGCAGAAATAGAGAAAAAAAAACACAATAGAAAAAGTCGATGAGGGGTGCCTGGGTGGCTCAGTCGTTAAACGTCTACCTTCGGCTCAGGTCATGATCCCAGGGTCCTGGGATCGAGCCCCGCATCGGGCTCCCTGCTCGGCAAGAAGCCTGCTTCTCCCTCTCCCACTCCCCCTGCTTGTGTTCCCTCTCTCACTGTGTCTCTGTCAAATAAATAAATAAAGTCTTTAAAATAAAGATCGATGAGACTAAGAGCTGGTTCTTTGAAAAGCAAACAAAACTGATAAACCTTTAGCTGACTCATCAAGAAAAAAAACTCAAAATCATAAACGAAAGGACAAGTTACAAATGACAAATACAAAAAAAAAAAAAGATTTCTACAAAAAGTTATATGCCAACAACTTAGACAAACCAGAAGAAATGGATAAATTCCTAGAACTATAAAATCTTCCCAGACTGAATGAAGAAGAAATAGAAAATCTGAACAGGCCAATTAATAGCAATGAAATTGAATCAGCAATCAACAAATTACCAACAAACAAAAGTTCAGAACCAAGCTGACTCACAGGTAAATTCTACCAAACATTTAAAAGAGAGATAATGACAATCTTTAAACTATTCAAAAAAAAAAAAAAGAGGAAGGAAAGCTTCCAAACTCATTTTATGAGGCCAGCATTACCCTAATACCAAAATCAGACAAAAATGCCACAAGAAAAGTACAAGCCAGTATCTCTGATAAATAAAGATGCAAACAAAATATTAGCAAATCAAATTAAAAAATACATTAAAAAGATCATTCACCACAACCAGTGGGATTTATTCCAGGGACGCAAGGATGGTTCAGTATGTGCAAATTAATCAGCATGGTACACATTAACAAAATGAAGGATAAAAGTCACATGAGCATTCAACAGCTGCAGAAAAAGCATCTGAGAAAATCCAACATCCATTCATGATAAAGATTTTTAACAAAGTGGGTACAGAAGTAATATACCTCCACATTATAAAGGTCATATATGACAAACCCACAGCTAACATCCCACTCCGGTGAAAAACTAAAAGCTTTTCCCCTAAGATCAGGAACAAGACAAGGATGTCCACTCTCACGACCATTATTCAACATAGTACTAGAAGTCCTTGCCATAGCAATCCGATATTTAAAAAATTTTTTAAAGGTCTAAATTGGTGAGGAGGAAGTAAAACTGTCACCATTTGCAGATGACACGGCACTATGTAGAGAAAACCCTAAAGACCCCACCAAAAAAATATTAGAATAAATGAATTCAGTAAAGTTGTGGGATGCAAAATCAGTATACAGAAATCTGTTGCATTTCTATATACTTA